AAAGCCAAAATGTCCTTACAACTTACTTATTGCTGTTTTATCCATATCTTTTAAGCTAGCATAAATACTCGTCATTATTTGGACATTCGCTACTTATAGCCAAAGGTCATGTTAAGCATTTTATTTCCTCATAGATCTTTATTCCGCATTTTGAATCACGTTTTGGAGCTTAGTGCATGCCTAAGCATAGGCATTTTGCATGCGGCGCATGGTTGCATTTTTTGGGCTTACCAGGCAGTCGGAACGCCAGGAGTTGTGGGGAACAAGGACGTGGGGTGACAAGGACGATGCTGCACTGCATGTAGGCGAGGGAGCTGCTGACTCCGAGTCGCTGGGTCTGAAGAGGAGCACAAGGACGAGCAGGAGGAGGCACCAGGTTCAGGCCGAGTCGACGGCATGATAAACGTGCTGCCAATAAATTACACTGCGTCAAGGCTCCCAGGATCCCAGCTCCCAGCTCCCTGCTCCCTGCTCTCTGCTTCCAGCCCACGGCTTCTGGCGAGGAGGAGCATCGGAGCCGGCGCTGCACATTTTTGCTGCCGTACCATTTAAAATTTACTACAATTTCTTTTGGCTTTCACGTGCGCACCCCGCTCATACGGTAAACAATTTGAATGCTTTGGCAGGCAGGACACGTAGACGAGGAGCAGCCAGGACGCTTTTGGAGGCGAACCACTGGCTGGGGATGTCTCTTTCTGCTGGAAACTATCTTGGCGATGGCGATAGCAGAGTGACACGAGCGATCTGAGGTCGTCTTGATTAGCCAATACATCTGAGCTTGCTTCTCCAGAACTTCCGATATAGTTTGTATAACCACTTGGTTCCTTGGGATGTGCAGAAAGAATTAATTAAATGCTTTATTAATGGAGCACAGACCCCGTTAAAAGGTAATTTTATTTATCTTTCTAAATCTTATCTTTCTATTTATCTTTCACTAAAATGTGTAACGAAAAATTGATTGTTCAGTGCTTCCGGTGCGAACGGTGAAGCACTTTATTTAAACAAGTAATATGAGCCGAGCATCGACCCTTCCCAAGCCTTGATTGATTGCAGAACAAGATTAATCAAGGACGAATGAATATTTTAAAAATCCCGTTCACGCTGCCCTTACAATATTGATAGTTGAACAGTTTCCCACGTTGTCTGGCTCTAATCGGAGCGTGCTGGGTTCCTAGGGCCACGAAGCCCTCATCTCTGCCCACACAAGCTGGATCCTCAGTGCTCCTTGCCGCTCCAGTGCAGCAACAGGACAATCGTAGCGTAAAAAGTTTGCTCTTTGTTCGCGTAACCCTAACTATGCTTACTCAATCCGCCGCCCCACCACCGTTTCAGCCATTTGCAATGCAAACACTGCCAGGAAGAGGAGATGCACAGCCGCCAGGAGCTCCTGCTTGCCTCATCCATGGAAGCCGGGCACGCATCTCGCATTGTGTAATATGCTCTGCGATTTATGTTTGCTCTAAGCCGGAGGACACTGCAGAGGCGGCCACTCGCATACTGAGCAAGAAGCGAAACCAGTACCGAAGGAACATAAATTGAAATGTTCTTAGTTGAAAAAATATTGAAATCATATTTGGGGCAAGTGCAGGAGCACGGAACAAACGCACTTGACTTCAGACTGCCAACTCGGTGTCGGGGAATTCTGGATTCTGGATTCTGGATTCAAGTGGTCCGACCTTCCCTCCCACAAACATCACACAACTCACAAATGACAAACATCGTGAGGAGCTCAGCAAAAAATATTACTTTGCAAATCGATGCAACTGAAGGATACCTTGCAGAAAAGTGGATAACCTAATCCGTTACGGATCAGTTTGAGTTCATTTCTCAAACTCGTTTCATAAAAAGAAATAAGACTGATTAAGCTCATAAGCCTAATTAAACTTAAACGTTTTCCTTTCAGTGTAAGATTTTTGAGATTCAGTTTTACCTTTGAGGGTGACCAGGATACAAGAAAAGAAAAAACCGCAATAGTTTTTTGGCATGAGCAGGAGATATGCGCATATACCCTTGAAGAACGGCTAATGGATATGAAAGGAAAATATGAAATGAAAATCGAAAAAATCGAACATAAAATCTCAATTTTTTGCACAGTATAAGCAGAAGAACTTCCGAGTAGGAAGGACGAAAACATGCATTCAGATCCAATGGAGTTTTGACTGCCAGAACAATGGAGTTTAATAGATGAATCAAGACACGCCTTTGCGAGGAGTACAAGAAGTCAATTCAATTGTCTGGCAGCCGCATATAAAATCGTTTTATGTTTATTTTAGCTGCTTTTATTTCTACACTCTGCGCTCCACTTTATGGCTTAATACAATTTTTATGTTCTGGCCATTTTGAAGACTCGCAGGAGCAGCACGCGTCCAATAAAAGCCCGAAACATTTGCGGCAAATTGGGCATCTTTTTGAGGGCGGTTTGTTGGTAGGGAGTGTCACCTGCATTCCCCCACCTGTTTATTTGGCACATAAAACGGTTTTATGTGCGGGTCCTGGCCCAGTTTAATGCTAATCGCCATCATAATACGTTGTTAGCGCTCGTAAAGGCACTCAAACTTCATTCTTATTATTGGCGCTACTTAAGAGGCTGAGTTGCTCGGAAAAGTTTGGGGAAAAGTTAGGGGCTGCTAATTTAAAAGGAGGAAAATTGGTTGTGAGCAATTTCCAGTTTTATTGTGTTCAGAGTCCCAACCTGACAGCTTTCAAAATATACTTGATTATTTTATTCACACTTTCTCAGTAAGTATTGAACATATTTCTTCAGCTTTTGCCAGTACCAAGTCACGCGGTGAACTTCAGTCAAAACCCAGGAATTATCGGCACTTTAATAAACAAGATTTGAATTTCGTAATTGCATTAGCATTAATGGGCAGCTCGACGAAGGCAATACAAGCAATAGATCCCAGCATCTTCACTAACTAACTGAAATTTGTTCCTGGCTCTGGGCAACCGGAAATTGGTTAAGTAAGGGGGTGAAGGGTGAAGGGGGTTGTGGGACTGGGGGCCAGTAAACAAGGGTATTAGTGTTCATTAATTAAGCAAACATAAATATATGGAAGTGCATGCAAGAATTTGCAGTAGTTTAATCAGACCGGCGGCTTAAACGGAAGTTTGTGGGCGGTGCGCCACACGGCGTATGCGTAATCCTGTTTATGGAATCCCTCTAACCATTTTCCATGTTGCGTTTTATCATTCCAACTGCACCAACAACTTACCTGTTCTCCACATAAATTAGGATTTTAGCACATAACAACTGATTGCAGACGAGCTTATTGGGGCTAATTAGGCTGTTGTTCTGGCCGAAATCGAATTCATATAACGGACATACATTCAAAATGACAGGGAGATTGCTAAGTGCATATTTATTTGCACATTATGGAAGATTGGATTCGAGAATTAGTACCTCATTAAACTGTGGGCTGCTCCTGGAATAATACTATCACTGAAGTCCAAAGCTTGAGTTAGATTTCTAAAGTGAAATTTGCATTAGTTTGGGTACACATTCATAACACATACTGTTAGTTTCAACTCAAATTTTAATGTAATAATTATGTTCTGCAAACGGCTTGTGGCTAATGCATACATACATCTGAGCATATGCCAATCCTAAGACTCATATTTATTCACTGACGACAGCCAGTAGGATGTACTAATTGCACATCATGTCAGACCTCCTCTTCGGTTCCACTCCTTGAGCTTATCAATATGCATGACGAGCATTTTGACAAGATTTTTAGGGCCGTCATTTGCATTTTACATACTTAATTGTTTTCGCATTACAGGCAGCCTAGTGACTACCAGAGCTTCATTAGCACCAGGACACATGAGGCAGCCCTGACTTTTTCCCCAACCTGCTCCACCTCCTCAAGCTCCTCCACCTCCGCCTGCTCCTGGAAGTCAAAACGATTAATGTCAACTTGCTTAATAGCATTCCTTTTGCCTCATCCCAAAGGGGCGCACCGAACTTAAAGCCTTCTCCAGTAGCTGGGAAATTACTGAATCCGGGTTCCTTTTCCCCCACTTTTGCAGGCTCAACATGTCATGTCACTTTTGGCGATGGGCGGAGGGGAAGCTGCGGTTGTTCGCGTGATGAATTACACACTCGCCGAAGGACACGATGATGAAGTGCCTGTCATTCGGAGGCTGAAAGAATGCCCACCAGCCGTCCGTCCGTCCGTCCGTCCAGCTATCCATCTATCCATCTATCCGTCCAGCAGTATGTCAGGTTGTCAGTTCGTCAAGCCCCGCTTGGCAGCTGCTCGTATTGTTGTGAGCCATTTGCATAGAGCGTCTTCCGCATAATTTATCGACACTTGAGCAAAACTTTAATTACTCCCCAGCCTCCAGGAGCAGAACCAAATTTTTCGTCTGGTAATGCGCCCGAGGGATAATACTATGAGGGAATTCCGAGGAGCAGATGGGCGAACGTGGGGCAGATATCCACCATGTGAATTTGTGCATATGGGGGAAAAATTCGCCACAAGCCTGTGTCCTTTGTCTGCGAAATTCAATGCGTGTTTCCAGTATATCCTTTGGCCATACATAGCACCACATTGCAATGGATTTGGGTAAGGGGTTTGGGGTAGTTTTTGATAGCTTTCTGTGGACTCCTGCACACACTGCTGCCTAATGGCCTTTAATTGAGCGCTGGGAAAACGTTCAAGTGTTTGCGGCTGTTGAAAAATTTTAGGGAAATTCGATATTGAAAATGAAGTGGCTGTAATGCTGGGCCTTGGCCAAGCCCAATCATTTCCCAGGATTTTCTTTTTGTTGCCTGGGATTGACACTTACAATTTGTTTGCTGATTGCCATTATGTAATAAGTGCTCTGCATTAGCAGAATGAGTGGCTCTAATATTTTGGAGCGGAAGGCCAGTCTCTTAAATGGCTTTTTCCGAGGCGGTTAAAAGCCGCAATTCGACTGAATTTGTATTTGAAAAAGCTGTCATACATATACATAAAATAATCAAGTATATTTATATATAATTTATGGGTCTTGTTTAATCTAAAACATGTACTCAGATAATACAGATATTACACACATAGGTACTTTCCAAAAACGAAGAATTTACGTTCCATAACTCGAATGCCCTCCGATCCAGCTCACCCCAGAATGCAATCGCACATTCGCTGGCAGACGCGTTTCCGAAGATTCTCGACTCGCAGGAGCAGTTTGCTGTGATCCTCGTTGTCCTTGGCGTCGGAGAGGAGATTCTGCAGCTCCTGCACGGCTCCTAGGCAATCGCAGTGCTCGGCGAGTCGGGGATTTCGGCACAAGAAGTTGGAGCAGCAGATGGGATCGCATTGGTGCTTGGGCGCCCGGTACTCCGGCTTACGTCGATCCCGGATGTATTCCTGATGGCACATCTGGCGGTAGTAGGCCCGCAGCTGGCGCCTCTGCTCCGCCCGCCTCATTTCCCGCATGAAGGGAGCCTCCTGCTCGTTGTAGGGGCGATCCATGAAGCGACAGATCTCGCACTGGCAACCTGCCGGTGGACAAGGTGGGCAGGTTTTCTTGGGCTTGTCCTTGCAAACGTTCTTATCCCTGTCTCTTTTTTTTCTCTTGGGCGGAACCTTCAGCTTGCCAGTCGGAGCCACTGGATCGTTCTTGATGAGTTCCAGACCTGGAAATTCGAATTCGTCCACTGTAGTTCCTCTTTTGCTGGGTTTTTCGAACTCCGGGATATCCGGTTGCGTTCTTCGTCTTTCTTCGGAGAATCGCTCTCTTTCCTCCTCTTTCTTGTTTTCTAATTCTTTATTTACTTCGTTTTTGATGTCTTCGTTTTTTTTATTTTTTTTCTTTTTTTTGTTTTGATTTTTATCTTTATCATGGTCATTGTCCTTATTTTTTTCCTGGTTTTTTTCTCTGTCTATTTCTGCATCTTTATCTTTTTCTCTATCTTTATCTTTTTCTTTATCTTTATCTTTGTATATTGCTATTTCTCTTTCCTTTTGTTTTTCTTTGTCTTGCTCTTTGTTAAAAACTTTTCCTTTCTCTTCTTCATTTTCCTTTCGCTTTTCCTTTTCTATTTCTTTTCCAATTTCTCTTTCTTTTACTTTTCCCTGTTCCTTTCCAGTTTCTTCCTTTACTTGTTGTTCTTTTTCATTTTTTTCCCCCTTTTCTTTTACTTTTTCCTTTTCTTTTTCCTTTTTGATTTCTTTATCTATTTCCATTTTGTTTTCTTTTTCTCTTCCTTTTTCACTATCTTGTTCTTTTTTTGTTTCTCTTTCCCTATCCTTTTTCTCTTCCCCTTCCTCTACCTTTTCCTCTTCATTTTCCTTGTCCTGTTCTCTTTCTGGTTCCTTTTCCTTTTCTTTTTCTCTTCCTCTTTTAATTTCTTTTTCCTTTTTCCGTTCATTTTCATATTCATTTTCTTTTCCTCTTTCCCATTCCGTTTCTTTATATTTGTCTTTCTTTTTCTTCGACTTTTTCTTTTCCTTTTCTTTCCCTTTTTCGTTTTCTCTCGCTTTATCCTTTTCTTTCGCTTTTTCCCTTTCCTTCCCTATTTCTTTTGCTTGTTCTTTTTTTGTATCCCCCTTCTTAGCATTCTCTTTAGCTATATCCTTGTTTTTTTGCTTTTCTTTATATATGTCTTTATCATTATTTATGTTCTTGTCGCTTTCTTTATCGTTAACTTCTGGTTTATATTTGTCATTGACTCGATTTCTATCCTTGCCATCTCCTTTATCCCCTTTATCTGCGGTTCCTTCGTCTCGCCCTCCAGTTACTTTATCTGTCTCTCCTGTTTCGCGCTTTCCTTTCCCCATTGGATCACCTAGATCGCCCAAAGGCTTACCGGGCTTACTGGGATCTCTGGGTACTTGGTTATCCTTTCCATGGGACCTTTTCGGCCTGCAGCATTTCTCATAGGACTCGCAAAGCGGATCTGCAGAATGGTTTTGCTCAAAGAACTTAAGGATTCTGCTGTACAGCTGATCGTAGTTCATTGATTCCGGACTCTTGTGCTCCTTTGCTTCCTTGCTAAGGGGATGAGCATCCAGCTTGTTCTTGGCCCACTCGTACTGAGTGCAGCCAAGGCGCGGCTCTAAGCAATCCGGGGGGCAGTACCAGTGGCGACCAGTGCCACGCAGACCACGTGGATCTCTTCTTGTCGCAGGCTCCATGTCGAAAACCTGAGCCCTGGAAATGCCAGTGTACAGCTGGCGCGCCACTCTAGTGGAATCGCGAGTGACCTGAGGAGAATCCGTGCAGTATAGCGCCTCGAATGCTTTTCGGGGATCCAGCTGCTGTTGAACGTGGGGAATCTGCTGGAGATCCGACTGCAATGCCTGGCGGTTCAAAACTAAAGGCTTGCATATCTGAGGGGTATGGTTCTTTTCCGCCAGCATATCCCTTGGGGATGTCTTCCTAGCCGGTTTAGAGTTCCTCCGCTGAGTGCCGCCACCGTTGACCTTGACCAAGCAGGCGGCGACCACCTGGTTGAACACCACCGACTCGGGCTGGTGGGTGGGCGACCCTACGCCATAGAAGCCCAACGTGTCCTTGTGAGGACTCTGCTGCCAAGCTAGCAGCACGTCGTCTTTGACCATGTCGAAGGGTCGCCCACTGCCATCGGCGGCGAGGGTGTTGGCCAACCGTGTGATTTCCTCGTTCTTGTTGGGGTCGCAATGTGGCTTTCCTGTTCGGATCGAGGAGTACGTCTCCGCCCGTTGGGAGCGGTAGTCCTGAAAGTCGCGCCTTCTGAACTGTGGTGGATCGTTTTCCCGGCCAGCGGAGCGCTGCGCCTGCAACCCCTTCCTGTGCATTTCCGGTGGGATCGGATTGGACCACTCTTAATTTTCATTTACTACTACAATTTTGTCGTTATATGTATTTTTTTGCTCCAAACCTTAGGACTTCCTGAGAGTTGAGAGCTTTTCCTGGGACTCAGAGATTAAATGTTGATCTAGTGCCGATTACATTCATTAACTTTAAAGTGGGTAAGGACTAGAATTGGTAACCAAACACAGCATCCGGCACAATGCTTAAATCCAGTTACGAGTGCGAACTTCTATCATTTGTAAAATGTGCTTGTCCAGAGAATGCCATGCGTTTGCAGCCAACCAAATGAACCTCAATTAAAGTTTGCACACTTTGGTTTGCTGTCCCAGTTTTAGGCCACAATGCTGCCCCGATCGACCCATGTTGGCCATGCAATTTCCTGGCCGTTGCCACATAAATTCGCACACGAAAGAGTCTGACAAGGCTGTGCTATTTATGTAGCAGTTCCTTCTCAACCAAAAAGGGAAAAATTCCATAGGCACAAATGCCCAACTCAGCTGTTTTTACCACTGGTGGTTGGAAGTGAATAAAGTACGAACACACACACACACACACACACATAAAGGGGGCATAAATCCAAAATTGTCTTTTGTCGCATAAATATTTTACTTTGGGCATTTAGAGCATCCTGGCGACCGGAGGAGAGGCAGCAAGGACATGGACAATAGGCCAAGCTGGAAAGGGACATGAAACGACATTATTTCTTATTATTAGAACAGCGCAAATAAATGAGACTCGGAAGGCGGGTAGAGGTCGGAGGGGACGGATTTCCCCACGATGGCACTTTGTTTGTCCTGCCAGCACCGCAATTCCCACATGTCTGTCTTCATAAATGCTTTATCTGCGGCAAGCACACACACTTGGCGGCTCAGTGTGTTGGCTTTTGTAATTATGTGCATATAATAAAGTTGACCCAAATAAAAGTAAGCGCCGACTTTGGCTCGCTAAACAAAAGCCATGCACACGGGGGACAATAAGGGGGGCGTATTGGCCATAACTACAATGCTCATATTGTGTAGCAATACTGTGTGATCCGAGCAGTTCATTAAATGATAAGCCATCGCCATCTGGCCAACAATTGGGGGATCAGGCGATGCAATTTCAGGCCGCTTCGAGAAACAATCACTGGTAATTGGGGCTTTAAGCGGCGCGTGTGGCGCAGTCATGCTGCATCACATGTAAATAATCATAATTGATGAAGGAGTTGAGTGGGTGGGGGAATTTACGCTCCACTCACGGCCTGGGCATCTGCACAGGCACATGTCTCCTTGGCGGATTTATGGCCCCAATATATTAGAGACCCTTCGCGCGTTCTCGCCAGAAATAAATTCATGAATTCATAAATTCAGCATAAAATGGCAGCACTCGCATATGCTCACTCCGTTCGCGAATTTGATCCCTTTCTGCTGAATGTGCTTCGGCGTTATCCATTAAATGCGATGAATCAACTGTTGGCCACCATAAACAATCTTTGACTCAGTCTCTGGCACTTTCTTCTCGGCTGCGCTGCGCTCTTCTGCTCATAAAACGTCAGCCGGCGGAAGCGGAAATTTATGCTCGCCATTTTGCAGCGGACATGTTTGTATTTGCGTGGCCATAAGCGTGTGTGCCATCGTGGGCGTGTGTGCGTGTGCGTATATTTGACTTCCTGTTGACGTGCAAGATGGCCGGCAGTGCCGAGTCGACCACTAAAAAGTCGGTAATGCTTCCCAAATGGCGTGCAAATATCCGTAATCTCTCTCCACTTCCACATCCAAACAAAAATAGCATCAAAAGTGCTTCTGACGAAAAAAAATACAACTACCAGTTATGTTAATGCGTTTTGATTAAAGTGGTATTTCATTTTCATCTCGAGCCAGTGACCTTATTTTAGCTAACTACTTCTTTGAAATAGCTAAAACCACTTTTCCATTTGATCAATCTTTTCCTTAAAGATTTTCCTAGATTCCTATGCTTTATTCCGCGGCGATGATTGTGAGAGAAGTGCACTTTCAGACCAATCTCTTGTCTTCTTTCCGAGTGCAGTTAGTTCCGTTTGACATTGTGCATTTCCCAAAAATGTGGCCAATAAAAATGGCAACTGCTTGGAGAAAATGTCAAAGGAGGGAAATGGTAACAAACAAAGGCTGAACGACAAGCAGATGAGGAAAATATTACGAAAAAAGTATGGGACAGAAGAAGACAAGATAATTGATTGTTTGATTCAATCGAAAAGTCAAATGCTTTTTTTGAAGCTGGTACAAAATGGTTTTTGGATGATTGCGTAAGCGACAAAGGAAGCGCACCAAGCATTGAAAATTGGTTACAAATTCTGATTAGAAGCGCCAGCAAAACAGACCGAGGTAAAACCAGGCCAAAAGGGAAATAAATACAAGCTGAAGACAAATTGGGCGTCACTTGCCCGGTGGGCGTGGCAGTTGTACAAATTGAATTGTATTCGGTTCGAGGGCATTGATAAGACAAAGCAATCAGTCAGTCAGTCAGCCAGTCAGCCAGTCAGCCGGTTGGGAAGTTTGAAAACTGGCCGAAAGAATGGAGAGGGAAAAGGAATGTGGATGCTCCGCAGAGGATGATATAATTGGTTAAGTGATCGATTATAAGTGTAAAGTGAATTACATGATAGTGATACCAAAGAACTTTCAGATCAACTTTAAATATGAACCAACTCCTGAAATTTCCTTGAAAAATTCTAATGTGCTTCAAACAAAACAAACAGATCTGTTTTACAAATATTTAATAACTATTTCAGCTAAGAGAATGATTTTTCAATTTTACAACAAACTGTAATATAAATATTGAAATATAAAGCACTTTTTTCCTATGAAAGCATTGCAACCTAAAATTTATTTTATTGCCAAGTAATATTTACTGAAGAGGCACGAAGTCCAGAGCTATTTATTAGTTACTCCAGCAGGAACAGTGGTCTGTGCATCAATGCATTAAATTTAATGTAAGCCAACATATCCCCCACGAACGATAAATGCCCAACGCACTTGCTTTTCCGCTCGATATAGCAGCACATATCATTCACACAATTTGGCCCATACCCGAAAACATTACTTGTGGGCCAGAACAAAAAGCAAACCGAACTGAAACCGCATTTGCATTACATTTCATCATTTTGCCAATTTTGAGTTCTCAATCAATTTGCCGCAAAAAGTATTCGTTCATTCGCAATTTTGCATTTTGCCAATTACAGTATAGCTGATTGGATTGTTGCCAATCTTTTTCCGATTGTTTTTCCGCACTTTTTACTTTCCGCACTGCCTGCATGTGTGGGTATGTAAAGTGTCTGTTCGGTTCTTCCCTGGCATTCCAGGGCAACTCAATTAAATCGAACTGCAATCATATTCACCTGCATCCGTTTCCGCTTCGGAGCTCCATGCTCCATGCTCCATGCTCCATGCTCAATGGTCCACGCTCCACGCTCCATGCTGCATGCTGCACATTGTTTCGCTCCCTCGACTGCCTGGGAATGTATCTTTAAAATTCGAATTCATATTACAGATTACAAATTCGCAGCATGTTTGTCATTCCGCAGTTTTGTTGGCGTTTCTGCTGCTGCTGCCAATTTTCGGTTGTTTTATATATTTTTTCTGGAAATCCCCCACCCTCCTTTTTCGCTTTTTTGGTCCGGCACGGCCATTTTTAATTGCGCGGCATTGTTGCTGGTTTCGCAGGGTGTGTTCTTTATATACGTACATATAGAGTTCGGTCCGACGTTCGACTGATGTTTGTGTACGTACGCTGTCCTTTATTTGATTTCAGTTTCATTTCGAAAATTTGTAATGCGCCTCGTGTAGCGACGGATCCTGCTCCGTGCCTGTTCCGCTGTCTGCCCGACGAAGGATAATGAAACTATGCGCTTGTCGCCATTTCGTTTGTTTTACACTCCCCCCAAAAGTTCCCACCCACTGCGAAAAGCAAGACTCGTGATTGGCACCAGTCGGAGGCCCCTCAAGCGAGTGTCCACTGTACGTGGTTTGGCCACGCTGTCATCATCATCAGGAGCGGCTGGATTCCCTGGGATGGGTTTTAGTTGGTTGCGGTCCGCCTGGTGGCATTTCAATTTCAATTTTAATGCTGGCTACAAAAAGGCGCAAATAAAACGTACGAAATCATCATTCCTCGCTATTTGCTCAAGGTGCTCGGCAGCCAAGGGGCCAGGACACCAGGGGATTATCGAAAAGTTGCAGGATGTATTTGGGAAATTGGCTCGCCAAATTCCCCCTGAGTGTAAGCTGTTCAGTGCAAAGTATAACACTAAGACAGGGAGCTCTGTTTGGTGAAAGCAATCTAAAGTAACGTAGCTCGTACTTGCTGGATAACTAAGAAGTTGCTCAAATGCAATATTGGACATTGTTTCTTCATTTAAGCAACAAATGGCTTTGTAAATTCAGTCACAGCAAATAGGTAATGAACTTAATTACCTCAGGCCATGAATCAATTTTTTCATTGGCACTTATTTCCATTGATCTTCCATGTCCAAAGCCAATTTAATATTTATGAAGCCGATGTGTTTCGATACACTCGATGAAACAGTGGTGCGCCTCATTTATGAAACTGTCACAACAAATTGGTTTCCATGAAAAGAGGAAAACTGGCGAGAATGACCACAGGGAAACGTTGGTTGCAACAAAGCATTGGTGATTGAGCGATTCAATTGAACTCAAGCTGTGATCTATGTCAAGAAATATTTAAATATTTAATGAGGCGAGGCATAAAGAAATCCACCGAAGTGCCCCAGCTGGGCATGACAAAGGCCTATAATTTATTCCAATACAAGTGAGGAATACTCCGCTTCTCCAGTGGGGGACTGCGAGATACCGCGAACCACATTACGCATACGAAGCGTTGCCAACCAGAAGTGGAAGCATTTTCGCCATCCGCCCAACTGACAATTCGATTAAGTTGGGCATAATTGTAGCCGTGAGTGCTACAATTATCAGAAGATTAAATCGCGCTTTATCGCCGGCGACTATCAGCGTATTAAAATGTCAATTAAGTTGAACATTTCTTCCTGTTTGACCCACCGACCCCTCGGTATCCTGATTGCCTTCAGGTGGATTCGAA